AATTGTTAAACGATACTGGAAGGTTATGGTGATGGTAATTCCAGACAAATTGACAGTTAAGGAATGTAACAATGTCACTTAGTTTTAGTATATTGGAAATACAGTACAACACACTAGATTTAAAGTTATTAGATTGAAATGTATTATTTTTAAGGCTTTATTTTGGAGATGGGATAGCCTTGAGAAATTTTGTTTCTGGGATTGTCCCCATATTTGACATGCATATCTTAGGCGAGACCCAAAAATAGCATGGTATATATTAAGCAAAGCATCTAAAATTACATAATGGCGGACTTTGGCCAACATTCCATTAGATCTCCTGAGTTTTATTGCCAAGTCATTTAGATGGTCTTTGAAGGAAAGATTTGAATCAATTTTAATACCAAGATATTTAATAGATTCAACAGGATAAATTTTCTGTCTGCTTAGTCTAAAATTTAAGTGCATTTTAATTGGTATCAGACTGGATTTAAAGATGATGAGTTCAGTTTTATTACAGTTAAGAAAAAGTTTATTAGATCGAAGCCATTGAATAAGATTTGAGAGATCATGAATAATATGTTTGTTGATTTTTTTTAGCGATTTGTCAATAAGTAGCATGTTAGTATCGTCCGCAAAGTGGTAAGCAGTTGCAAATTTAAAAGAAGTATTTAAGTCATTAATAAAAATAAGAAAAAGAAGTGGTCCTAAAACTGAACCTTGAGGGACACCATTTAAGCACTTTTATGACAGAATTAGTCCCATTAATGGAAACAAACTGTTTTCTATGGTTAAGATAAGAACTAAACCATTTTAGTGGGATGCCTCTGATTCCATAATACTTCAATTTTGTTAGAAGTATTGAGTGATCTACATTGTCATAAGCTTTTTTACTCCACATGCAAAGTGCTTGTTATCCAGTGTTTTTCGAATCCTTTCAGTAATTTCAATGAGTGCAAGGGTTGTGGAATGTTTGCTGCGGAATCCGTACTGATGTTGGTATTAAGCTTTTACATTTTTCTAGAAACTTGTACAGGCTGTTGTGCATAGCCTTCAAAAAGTTTGCTCAAATTGGAAAGAAGGGAAATGGGTCGATAAATAGTGTAATCAAGAAGAGAGCTTTTTTTTAGGATTGGAACAACTCTAGCTACTTTGAATACATCAGGGAATGTTTATTATTAATATTTTTACATCTTGCAATTTTTTTGTACTATTTTTTACAGATTAAGATTAAGTATTCCTTTTTTTTTAAGATTAAGTATTCCTTTAGAGATTTAGATTTGAGTAGTATTTGATTCTTGGATAATGTTTGAAAGGGGGGATGATGGTTTAAAATTTTCTCAAATGTCCTTAAGAAGTAATTGACCGATTGATTCACATCACCGTCTTTTTTAATCAAGATTTCATAGTTAATTTTAGAGATGTCTAGAATAAATTCGTTGGTATCAAAGTTTTTAAAACTTTGCCTTGAAATTTTAACTTTGTTAGGTTGACTGGCTGTGCCAGGAACAAATACAACTTGTACCATGTGATCTAAAATAGAAATAGGTAAGTTACCAGAGAAATGATCAGTAGAGTGGAAGTTCATGAAGATATTATCAATGAGTGTTTGTGATTTAGCTGTTATGAGGGTAGGTAGGATTATAGAAGAGTTAAAAGAATAAGAGCATAAGGAATCAATGTAATTAGAGGTAGGATTAGACTCACTATGATCTAGTAAATCTATATTAAAATCACCCATTAAAAGGATCAATTTATTTTCTTTGCTTAGTTTTTCTAGCAGCGGCGTTAAGTAGGTGAATTAGAATATTAGTTTTGTGGGGCTTAATGATTTCAACAGACTAGTAATTTTAGTGCATATATCTTGAGATCATTACGAACTGCATAATTTAAATTTGATCGAAGATATAAAAGAGCACGTTGAAACCACTAATGGTTATATTTGATATATTAGTGTCATTAATATATAATTTGGATTCAGTAATCCCTATTGCCATCGGTACTATATTAAGTGTGCTTATAAGGTTGCATAGGTCATCAATGTGATAAAAAAGTGAGGCAATGTTGAGATGAAGATATAGATCTGAAAAAGGTTTACTAATTTTATTAAATTTAATAAAATCATAGTATTTACAATTTATAGAAGAGCTTGAGATTGCATCAAGTTCTTTTATCAAGCTTCTCGAGTGGATAGGAGATTCAAGAATGTTTATGGATGCAGTTAGCGAACTCTTGCAAATTAATGTTAACAAAAGCTCAAAATCAGTAAGCGAACCGAATGGCATGTTTTTAGATATACAATTTATACAATACCATTCTGATGAATCAAGAGCAAGAAGATTATAAGTGTGAATATCAATTTGGTTGCACTTAGCATGAACCCACGAGTTGTAACAGTCACATAAGATGGCTCTGTGATGATCAGTTACATTTTTGAAACAGAAACTACAGGGTGATTTACTTACCATAGCCCCATTGAGACTTCATTACAGATCGTTTTTTACAACAAAATATATAAAATCGTGATAAATTGTTTGTGATAAAACATGCAAAAATGTGTAAAACTACGTTTTACAATTGATACAACTATTTATAAATTCATTTAGTAAAATAAATTTAGAACAAGTAAACGTTAAAGCAAATAAATAAAATAAATTGTGCTAGTTTATTTTTTAACTAAAAGAAAAAAGTAAATTAAAGTCCGGAGATAATAAAAAACGCTTTGGTTCAGATTTAAACTGTTCAAGTGTATTTCTTTTGACAGTAACAATCTGGCAAAAAATATTCCACAAATAAGGTCCGCAGAGTTGGATCGAGTATGAATTTAACTTTAATGTAAATTTTGGATGACAAAGTTGTTATATGAGAATCTAGTAGGGTATTTATGACTTATTTCGCTAAAATAGGGTGGAAATATCGGCGGAGATGGTCCATATTTTATATTGTACATAAACTGTAAAAGAAGATGTATGTTAATTTTTTATACATTCAACGCTCCAAGTTTGCATAAGAGTGGTTCACAAAACACTTTTCTACTTACTCTAAAAATAATTCTTCAGGTATGTCTTTGTTTACTGTAGAGCTTTTTAAGCTTAGTATAATATGTGCTACTCTAGGTCATATTATCATAGCTTAGGTGACAATGTATTAACAAAAAGTATAAACTTTTTAAGGAAATGATATTTAGGAAAAGTTTTGCTTTATATATTAATCAAATATTTCTTGAGAGATTTCTCTCTAAAGTATTTATATGGACCTTCCACGACAAATTTTTATCTAAGATCACACCTAGAAAGATTATGAAAGTTTCTCTTTTTATATTAGTATTATTTATTTTTAGATCAGGTAGTTTAAGAGGAATATTTTCGTTTTTATTTGGTTTATGAAATAGGATATATTTGGTTTTTTCGACATTCAAAGAGAGTTTGTTACTCGTTTATTTTATGTAATTCTTTGTCAACTTTGTTTATTTTATGTAATTCTTTGTTAATTTAAGGCGTTCTTTCATTTTCTCCTTAAAACATTTATTAATAAATAGAATATATTAATAAATGTTTTAAATTAATAAAATATAATTATAAAATAAAAGCGCAGCCATGGGCCGATTAACCTTCAAAATTAAATGCCGAGGCGCCATTAACCTCCAAATTCATGTGAAAAAATAACTTTTTAAACCCAATTTCTTTTATTCTGTATTTATTATTAGTGTTTATTTTAAAGTCTACTGTTTTTGTCATTTTGTTTTGAGTGTTCTGAGTTATAACAATAAAGTTAATGTTAATGAAAGTGATTATCCTAAATGAATGAAAATGTAAAAGCATTTTTAAAGCCCAAGATTAATTTCAAAGCTATATATGATGTTTAAAATGACTGTAATTTCCCAATGGGCACGCAATTCCACCGGTTTTGAGACTGATTGAAGAAGATAGTATAACTGAATTTATCAAAAAACCACTCAAGTTAAGACATGAATGTTTCAGCCAAAATTTTGAAAGACATGTACAACTTGTTACTGAAGTTTCAGCATCTGTTGCTGTACACGATCAGAGATCGAATTATTTGAAACCAAATCCAGGAAATTAATTAAAAATTTCAAATCAAAAAGTGATTTTAAATTTAACGTATTATACATTTTTTTTGTGTTTTATATATAAATAACCACTGAACTACAATTGTAATGAGTTTATTGCTTGATAGCTATTTTGAATATAGATGTAGTATATTGAAAGTATTCGTTATCATATTTTTTGTAATATATACCAACATTTCAACTTGAAAACAATAAAAAAATTCAGATTTAGACTAATTTTACGAATATAGCCTTATATCAATAAACAAAGTTCTACATTTAATTCTGCATCATTTGGTACCCAGAACAGTCCCGAGGGGGCGGTTTTCTAGCCCCCCCCATGCGAGTTTTATTTGTTGGCAAAATGGACACTGGAGTCGGCAAAATGTAATCTGTAGTTGGCAGTCGGCAAATGTTGACCAACGAGGACCTTTTTTTTGTTTTTTTTTTGGTTTGTTAGTCGGCAAAAAAATTTTTTTTTAAACTTTTGTCCGCAAAAAACAGATACGTTCCCCCCCCCTCCTTATGAAAATCTCTTCGGGACGGCCCTATTGGTACCTAGTAGTTGCTTCTAGCTTATTTTATAATACATTTATAATTATTCTTGCATTTTTAACCCATAAAAATTTTATAACTTTTACATTATAAAACTCAAACCCAAGGTAATTGGAGGGGACACTTTTTGATTTGTTAAAATTTTCTTTTTTTCAGCCTACTATATATATACATATATATATATATATATATATATATATATATATATATATATATATATATATATATATATATATATATATATATATATATATATATATATATATATATATATATATATATATATATATATATATATATACATATATATATATATATATATATATATATATATATATATATATATATATATATATATATATATATATATATATATATATATTAAACATTAAGTCAATAGGTTATATAATATTTTATTCTATAAAAAATAAAAAGCGATATACAACAAAACGGTGTGAACACAAACTAATAAGTTTTTTGCTTTTTTAAAGTTGGAAGCAGAGCAATTAGCACAGTAAAGTTCTAAAAACCAAAAGAAATAAAAATATAATAATAAAAAAACATTTATCGGCATACGCTTACTCTACTAAAAAAAAATGCTTTAACATATCATTATTAATTTTTAATTATTAAAGGTTTCTGATAGTTTTGAAAATATGAAAATAAAAAAAACACACATACCTCAACGAAGATGTAAACAATACACAAATAAAATGCAATACCAATAGCAAGTATTAAATCAAACAAAGCTGGCTTTACACTAGAAACAAAACAATTATTTTAAATTTAACAAGCATGAAATTTTTTAGTAAATTGTTATTTAGATTTTTTTGTAAAATGGAATATTTCAAATAATAAGTATGATTTTAATACTCCTTTAGAAACTTCAAAATTGGTAGAATGGCTATCGGTAACAACAGGTCTTATTTTAAATTCAGATTAGTGCATTGAGTTAATACACAACATAAGAATAAACTTGAAGCCATACAATCATAAAAACAAAAAAACTACTTTTTAAAAATTACTATATTTTTACCCACTAGAAGCACCCAATCACTTGATACACAATTTATGCAATAATAATATTTTCTAACAAACTATAGTTTGTTAATTTGTAATTTTCACCACTGTGAAACCATTTAGGTAAAGAAATAAGATAGCCATCATATGATGATGAATTAGGAATTTTATTAACAGCTATTGACTTTGAAACATGTAATGTAATGCAAAAACTCAATTAATAATAGAGTATATACTCTATTATCATTTACATTACTTTTTAACATTGTTTCACAGTGTAAATATTCTTAACTAAAATCTATTTTTTTATTCCTAATAATTGCAATTAAAATAAATACAAAGCTACAAACCTTCACAATTATTTCCAATAAAGAGTTGTGGGTAGTTTTAGCAATATTTAAGATTATTTTTAGAGCATGTTGATATATGTTGATATAGCAATCTGAAAGCCTATTTCAGTATTTTGTATTATTGGAATAGACTGAATCAGAAAATCAGTTAGCAAAAAATACAGGAAAACATAACGTAGTTTCTCTAAGAAAACCATTTTATTAAAATAAGAATAAAATATTTATAGTGCCAATACGACTTTTAACCATAACAAGAAATCAAGCTTTTAAATATAATTTGTAAACTAAAAATGCAAATCAAGCCATGTAATTTAAGTAAGTCATGTTCGTAACATCTCAAATTATATAAATTAATTTCGCTTTTTTAAATTAATTAAAGTTGTGGTTTAAATTAATTTAATTATAATAATTTAAACCACAAAACTGATTAAGGTTTTAAAGCATTTTTTCACATAAATAATCAATAATAATAAATATAAAAAATTAGAATTCAGGTGACACTCGCACTTTATTCTTTCACGGATATTTTTAAATTTTTTTAATAATTAACTTTAGATGTGGATATAAACAAAAGGCAATATAAACTTTAATTAAATTTTTTTTATCATTTTTAAACAAATTAAAGTAAAAAAAGAGATTTCAACACAGATAAATTTAATACTCGTTAAACATTATTTACTATTTTCATAAATATAAAAGCAGCCGTAATTTCAATTAAATATTTAATTTCTTTTTAAATTTATAACTGGTATTAAAATTAAGTTAAAAATAATTGTTATAAAAATTTCACAAACACATTTATTAAATGTTATTAAAAAAAATATTTACAATAAGAACATAACCTAAAAATAAATAAATCCCTTTGAAAATAAAGGTTTTGAGGGGAACAAACTGAGATTTTGTATTACCTGTAGACACTCATTTTAGATTCAAAAACGTCATAAAAAACAAACTCTGGCTCTCTAAACAAAAATTATAAAATTAAGAAAAATAATGATAATATCAATATTACCAATAATTTGAAAATAACATATTTATATTAAAAAAAAAAAAATTATAATAATTAATTAAAATATAAATAATTAAACTAAAAATTTTTTAAAAATTCTATTAAATTAAATTGAAATAAAATTACTTTTTGTCAGCCTTTGTAACTATTCGTTTAACTTCATGTAGATACTGTATTAAAATCTGAAATACAAAATTTAAATAAAGATGAAAAGCTAACAATATTTTACAAATATAACTTATATTTATAGTATTGTATTGATAGATTGCTTTATAAGTAAAAATTACAGAGTTCAAAGCCCACCACATTCTTGGTAGGACAACTTTCAACTTGTTTCTCCATATGTTGCTTTTTCGCCAAGGTTGATGATTCATAGTTACAGGGTTGAGAAGGCAGTAATAAAAGAAGCTGTTATGATACTTAAAAACAAGCAAGATGCTACAAAGCAAGAAAGCATCTTTTCAAATTTCAGAGGATGTCATAAACACAATAAAAGTTATAATTCAAGAGATGAACACTGAGGAATCATTAAATAATTGAATAAAATGCTGTTGTTGTGAATGATTATCAGCAGTAATAAAAGCATAACTTTTTAAGAACCTTTAATAGTCTTCTCATTGAAAATGATTTCTCTGAATCAGGTTCTTTCAAACAAACTGCCCAGAATTCTATTGCTGAAAACAAAATTCTATACATTGAGCAATCTAAAATTCTGAAACATATTAGTATCTGCTCATTTAAATAGTTTTCAAACTTGAAAGACCCTTTAGGACTCTTTAATGTGACATAACATTAGCTGTAGAAGCCACTTATCCATCATCTGAGAACATTTTAGATAGAAGAAACTTAAAAGATTAAAGCAATTCTACAACCTTTAAATAAATTCTACTGAAGTTAATAAACAGTAATGTGCTGCTGGCTAAAAGGTTTTAAAAGTGAGTTTCACATCATCTCAAAATTACACATCAATGGTGTTTGTAATGCTTGTTGTGAATCTTTTTTTGGCGCACTAAAACATATGTGAACATCAAATAAGTGCTCAATGTTGCATAAAATAAAATAAAACATCCTCATTGCTATCAAAAATCTTCCAAAACAGTGCAGTAAAGTCTACTGCAATGATTTTGAGGAAAGTGAAGCTTTAAAACAAGAGATTACAACTATTTTGAGAATTGTGACAATAATAATGAGTTTTATTCTCTTTGATTGTTATTTGTTTTTGTTTGGTAATAAAGTTTTGTAAAAGTAGATATATAAAATTATTTAATTTTTTTAAAATTATTTTATTAAATATATAGTTTATTAAATACAATTACTTAGTTACTATTGTTTTTGTGTAATATGTAACATTTAAATGCACAAGTTGATTTCAATAAAAAAAGGCAGTGTATAACTATTTTTCAAATATATTTATATATAATAATATATTAACAATATTTTGCTGACCTATTGTGGTCAGCGTCATCAGGTAGATTACCTGATGTACATATTTATATATATATATATATATATATATATATATTATATATATATATATATATATATATATATATATATATATATATATATATATATATATATATATATATATATATATATATTAGGGTGGGTCATAAAATTTTTTTTTTCTTGTTACAGGCTCTAAACATTGGTAATAGTTATTAATATTGATACTATCAAATATAAGAATGATTGTGATAGATTTAAGGGCGCAACTTTATTGGGAAAATTACCAGTACCCTAATATTTTGGAGAAAAAAGTTTTTTAAAAGTAGGTCAACCTGGTATTCAAAAGAAGCGAAATTTTATAAAAAACTCAAAAATAATAATCGTTTTATAAAAATCATATCGCCGAAAAAAATAATATTAAAAAACATGTAAAAATGCACCTTTTTCACTTTTAGTTAAAAAACTATAGCTATTATGCAATAAAATCTAAAATAATAATTTTATATGAAAAAGTTATTATTTTTGAAATTTTTATAAAATTTCGCTTTATTTGAGTATTTACATCACATAATTTTGAAAAACTTTTTTTTCAAATAATAATGCTAATTTTTGTAATTATAGTTGCGGGTGGAAGACATTGTTCAATCCATAAAAGTAAATACTTTCCTAAGATAGTACATAAAAAAACAACTTTCTAGACCATAACCAGGTTAGCAACTCTAAAAAAAAATTTTATGACCCACCCTAATATATATATATATATATATATATATATATATATATATATATATATATATATATATATATATATATATATATATATATATATATATATATATATATATATATATATATATATATATATATATATATATATATATATATATATATATTTGTGTGTTTAAGAACTAAAAAAGACAATTAAAAATCTATTTAGAGAACATTTACTTGATGCAGGAAAAAAAATGTTAGCAAATATAAAAAAATTATAAATTTAATTTTTAACAATTTTTTCATTAACTAATGATAACATTTGGAAAAAAATATATTTATACCTCTTCCATTGCAGAAAGTAATCGATTCTCCTTATTTATAAGCTGTTGTGAGCGAGGCTGAGATAAAAGATGATTCATCCAAGAGTTGATGTGATCTAAGTCTAAAGCCTATAAAAATTATTTCATAAATATATTTATTTAAATTATTTTTTTTATTATTCATATGTCATATTATTACTTTAAATTTATAAAAATTAAAATAAAAAAAATATAATGAAAATAAAATAATTTCAATAAGTATCTGTACATCTGCTATTTCTTTATTATCTCAAAATAAAAGAATAAATGAAAATAATAAGGTTTCAATAATGTGAGGAAAAAAATAGAGGGGGATGAATTATATATAAATATATATATATATATATATATATATATATATATATATATATATATATATATATATATATATATATATATATATAATATAACATAATATATTATATATATATATATATATATATATATATATATATATTCATATATAACATATATATATATAATATAACATATGTTATATATATAATATATATATATATATATATATATATATATATATATATATATATATATATATAATATAACATAATATATTATATATATATATATATATATATATATATTTATATAACACACATATATATATATATATATATATATATATGTTATATAAATATATATATATATATAATATATTATGTTATATTATATATATATATATATATATATATATATATATATATATATATATATATATATATATATATATATATATATATATATATATATATATATATATATATATATATATATATATATATATATATATATATATATATGTTATATAAATATATATATATATATATATATATATATATAACATGTTATATATAAATATATATATTAATATATATATATATATTTATATATAGCATAATATAATATATTATATATTTATATATAACATAATATAATATATACAATATATACAATATATACATATATATATATATATATATATATATATATATATATATATATATATATATATATATATATATATATATATATATATATATATATATATATATATATATATATATATATATTGAAGCAGCACTTAATTTGTGAATCGAGTCGAAAATCGAAGTTAGAGAAATTCAAATTTAAGATTTTTAATCTCTATATTTTATAACATTTTTTGAAGCAATTTCACAACATTATTTGTAAATATTTTAAAAAAAGTTTTTTAAAGATTTTTATTCTCTAAAAAATGTATTACTTATCACTGAAGACTTTTTAATGACATTATAGAGATATTATATCTCTATATTAACTAAATGTTATTTGAATAAGTGCTTTTTCTTACTTTTAGCCCAAATTAACTGCGTTTTGCTAGTAAAGGCTATTGAGTTTAATGTTGATTACTCCTCCTCCCACAGAGCTAACTCTTTCTGATAAACAATTAGTAGATTGTACAGCAAAAAGATCAAGCTCAACAAGTTGAATTTTATTGGGAATCATAGAAATACTTAAATCGTGCTTTTTTACAGATACCATTAAATAAGATTTCACAAACTTAACTTCAACAAATTTAATGGTATCTGAAAAAAATCTCTGCTAAGGTAAACATTACTGATTTAAATTGAGGGTCTAAGAAAGAACCGATAAGAGAAAAAGTCTTCACTTAATTTCACCTGATTTTCAACTATGTAGTAAGATCATCAACAAATTTACTTATCCCTCTTTTTTCCATTGAGCGAAAGTGCTTTTTTCTACACTTAGAATAGTAGTAGTTTCAGATACTGTATTTAAAATAGGAGTGACAATTGTTAATAATTGCACATGCACCTCAGAAAAGTCGATGACACTTTCATACAGTTTTTTTTCTGTGTGGACTTAACTAGATCCAGTTCTAAAAAACCATGATTTTTTAAAATCTATCCCAATATGTTAGAAATGCTGCTAAAGCGTGTTTACACATCCATTAAAGAATTTGATTCAGGTTTTTCTAAAGAAATTAATACTTTTTGAAAACTGCCTGTCCGATTGATGAGTGAAAAAACCCAACTATTTTATGAGTTTTGCTAATTTATGTCACAAAAATTGGTTGGTTTAAATTTGCTGATTTAACACAAAGTTGGATTTTATGAGCACAGCAGCTTAGCTAATTGATTTTAAAAAGTTTAAACGTGTACAGCATAATAGGAATAGTGGCAGTTGCTCGTAAAATATTATTTAAAGTCAAGTCAAATTTTGACAGCGCAATTCCTATAATTTCTTAAGTGGAAGTAGCTTTGTGAAAAGCATTTCTTATTTCCAGATTTACAACTGATAAAGACCATGATTCAAAAATTCCACACGAATGAAATATATTGACAATTAGAAACAAGAAAGTTATCGCCATAGTTAACCATAAATGTGACTAAAAGTGATGCTATGTTTGGAGATGATACCTGCCATATTATACTTTTGGAAGCTATTATATAGACTATTATTTGTTGGAAACAATTATATAGGCTATCAACCCTATCACAATATTGTCCTTAAGTAAACACCGAAAACAAATTGATGAATCCAGATCTAGAAGCTGAAATTCAAATTCTATTTACAATTATAAATCTAAGCATGATCATACTTTTTAAAAATAACTGTATCTATTCGAGGTCCAATAAAAAGTGAGTTTAATGAAGAGTCTGATGATTATTGGTTATGTTATTGGATTTCTTCTTTTTTTATAGCATATACACGCTCTTTAGATACTTCTTCGTGTAGCTTTTTATGTTCACGTTTTAAATGGCTCCATAGATGAGATAAAGTTCAAGTTTTCTAAACAGGTTGCTTTTTATTGTAATTTTTTTTTCAAAGAATTCTTTAAGTACTAGATGTTGTGGAAGTAACTTTTAGATTGAAGTGAAATAATTAACAGCATTTTTATTACCAGTTTGTAGCATTCAAAAATTTTCAAATTTAAAATTTCTATAAGTGAAAGTGAAGTGAAAAAGTACAAAAGTAAAAGTATAGATGTTTAGTTATACATTTACGCATTACCAAAACAAATTCATTTACTTTAATACAAATATCAAATGTTAAAAAATAGTTACCATGTTCCCCGAGAAGATCTCTAACTTGTTAGAAAAAGACTAAAAAAGTATAGTATGAAGAAATTACAATATAAACAAATAGATTTAAATGTAAATTTAAAACTTTAGTAGTAGAATGTGTTTAATATTTAAAATAAAAAATGTTTTTATTGTATGAAGTGCAAGAATGAGCAAAATAACAATAATAATAATAAAACTAAATAAAACATCTAAAAAATTTTTGTACACATTGCAAACAGACATAAGCAAACTGTTTATACAGTAAACTGATATACAAATAAATTGACATAAAGTTTTGAACTCCATACCTCTCACTTACAAAACAAACAGAAACATGTATGCAACCCACATACATATACAAACATATAATTATGACAATGCGCCAATTAACAAAATGTAATTTAGAATATAGTACTGCGGCATGCAGATGTAGCAAGTTTTTTAAATTAAACAAAAATATAACAAAAAATTTATACTTTTTTAATTCATACTAAGCATGAAAACAATAACAAAAATAGCAATTACTTTTCCAGATAAATTGTAGATATGTCTAGCTAGCCCTTCTGCTATAACTCTAATGTTCCTTTCCAATGCTACACTGTTTATTCTACAATTATAAAAAAACACGTAAAAAATCATTATACATTTTTTTGTCAAAATCTATTATTTGCACAATTTTGTCAAAATCTATTATTTGCACTGACACATTTCACATAACTACATGGCAATACCTGAATAAAATATATTTCTTTGTAAGTATAATCTTTAAAATAAATTCTGAATAACTTTTATTTAGTTAAAGATTTAATAGTTAAAAAATGTTATGTTGAAACTTATATTAAAATCTAACCTAATCATTCATGATATTATAATACAATTAAAACATAAAAGCTTTATTTTTTTCTAATACCTAATAATGAAAGGTTTTTTAAGATATTAGTGTCATTATGATTTTTTTTTGGAGTGGAAGGGTGGGGGATGAAAGTTGAGGTGCAGGTGGATTTAGGGGGGTAAGGGCCTCCAACCAACTAATTACAACACTATATATACATATATCATCATTACCATTACAATTTGCAAATACCTCGAGTATTAGCAAATGATACTGCAAGTACCATTTGCAAGTACTTGAAGTATTATACCTTGAAGAAGACTCTAGTTCTTCAGGTATACCTAAATATACCTACATATAAATATACCTAAACATATTTATATATAAATTGTTAACATATAATTTTTTTTTCACTTGGGCATGAAATGTGTAAATATGTTATTTATTTGAAATGAAATCAAAAAATGAAATTATCTGTATACCATTAAAGAATATTAATACATTAACAATTATAATATTATTCTTTAATTAATAAATATTGTATATGCATACAGTTATACAACAGAGCATAAAAATTATAGTTATTAAAATTAAGGCAGAAAAAGTCCTTAAAACTCTAGAAAGCAACCAATGAAACTAGTTGGAATCAAAAGGAGTAAAACCTAATTTTAAGGTTATTCAAAATAATTCAACTTATAATGTTATTAAGTCTATTATAACATTATGTTTTGAAACTTTTGTTTATTTATAGTACTATTTTTAGTATTGCACTATAAGTAATATATTTGAATAATTATTGAAGAACTAATAAAACAAAAATAATTTTAAATCTTTTAAAAAAGAATTAAAGTTTAAGAAAATTTCTTAAACTTACAGTAACTTACTTTGTATCTAAAATGGAACCTCTTTGAGTTGGTTTATCATAATGTGAAAAAGTTCCAGCGGGTAAACGTCTCATTGAAAATCTTTCATGCTCCCAATCCAGCATATCTTCAGCAAGATTTACTTTTTTGTGTACAACATTAAAAACAGAGTCAGAATACAGATCACTCATTACCTTGCAAAAAAAACAACAACAATGCAAAGTATAAAGAGATGGTAATAATAAAATAGATTAATATGGACTGCCAATCAAGTTTTTGTATACTTATCCTAAAAATTTAGAAAATCCATTACAAACATTTTAATTTGTGATAAGGGGAAAAATATTAGTTCTAAAGATTTTTTGCTAAATAACTTGATTTTTCTACTGGTATTAAATAAATTGTATCAATTAAATATGTTAAGTTAATGTTATTAATTTAAAAAAGCAGATTTACCACAGATTTCTTACTGTAACAAGCTGAGAATTGACAAAAAAAGAAGAAAAAGTTTTAATGTTTGTTAGTTTTATTTATTTGTTTCTATTTTGTTCTGGCAAATGTTATAAAGCATTGACTTCAACAATATTTAAATTTTTGATATACTTTTTTAACCACTACATTCTAACATGGTCGAAAAAGGAAAGAATGGTAGAGATAAATTGGAAAAGAAGAGAAGATACAAAAGTAAGGTTATCATCAGTATAATTAGTGATTAACAAATAGTATGAAACTGATAAATAATGACCATAAATAAATAACTACTTGCGTTTTAAAACTATATTATGATTACATTTTTTATTTTATTTCCTTATGAACAGCAAAAGTGCAGGAGTATAAAAAATATGCAAGTAAATAAATTAAAAAACAAATTTTGCATCAGTCATGCATTTCAACTGGCTGTTAAAGACACTACAAAAGATAAGCTGGTCAATAAATTTCAGATTCTAAAAGTTCTGGTTCTGATAAAAAACGCAATTAAAAACCAGTTTAATTTGCTAAGTTAATGAAATAATATTTTTTTTGTTACGTCCATGAAACAACTTTTGGCTGGCAGTGCATATAAAAAGTAAATGGAAAAAAAAACTAAAAAAATCAAACTTGATTTGAAAAATTTTAACTAAAAATACAAGAAGATAATTACCTTTTTAAACTCCTAAAAATAAAAAAAAATATATAAGTATTTCATAAAGTTTACTTAAAGCATTTTTTAACTGTATCAGTTATCTATACAACAAAAATAACACAATTTATATTTATAACAAAGTTATTGCTTTGTTATCTTAACACTACTGAATAATATCAAAAAAAAATTTATGAGTCAGAACACCTTACTATAATATTTAGATAAAATTTCTCAGTTAACAGATATCGTCGGGGATAGTGCAAATCCATGTAACTAGCATTGGCTACTATATTTGGATATTATTAACTTAAACACCAAATATTTATTGTTGAGATTACAAAAAACATAAATAATACTCTTTTTACTAAAATGAACTCAAAATCAGTTAAAATAAAAAATAAATAAAGTTTTAAACTTCTCCAGTAAAAAAAAATGTACTGTAGATACGCGGTATTATAAAATGCTAGTTACGCGGTTTTGCCTTATCCCCGACGACATAACTTAAAAGAAAATTTCTTAACAGTCAGACAGTCTTACCAAAACTTGGTTAAATTTTTTTACTATTTTTTATCTTATTTTCTTACATTCTTCTATGTGCATCATATGATTTTTAAATTTGTACATCTATGTCATCACAACTATGTTCATCTATGCCATCACTACTACATACATCTATGTCATCACAACTACATACATCTAACGCATCACAACTACATACATCTATGTCATCACGGCTATGTATATCTATGTCATCACAACTAAGTTCATTTATGTCATCATAACTACGTTCATCTATGTCATCACAACTTCGTACATCTTTGTCAACACAACTACATACATCTATGGCATCACAACTACATAAATCTATGTCATCACAATTATGTATATCTATGTCATCACAACTACGTTCCAGGCCTTGTTTTAAATAAAAAAGTGCTCAACGCATTAGCTTAACGCGATATTTGACGTCATAAGGTTATCTTTATTTTTTTTTATAGACGTTAAGTGTTTTAATTACCTCAATAAATGAATAACCGCAAACTAGTTCAATTTAACAATTAACTCAATTAAAACAATGTATAAATGTTGTAAATGTAAATATATTATAAAAAGTTTGTTGTGTTTTGAATTTGTTATTTCAAAAAATTGTAGTTGCGTTATTTAATTAAAAAACTTCGAGAGTAAACAAAAAGTATTAACATATTGATAAACGAAAACCCTTGCTTATTACTTGAACAGCGATTTTGTTTTGACTAGGTTTTTAAATATATCACGTATATTTATGTCGCTCAGCGTTTTCACTTGCGTTGTATAAAAATATAAAAAAAGTTTAAAGCATGTTTTGTGCATATTTTTGCACTAAAATAGAACGCGTTCGCCAGGAATTTAATGAATGAATGTTTTACGTTATAAATGTTTTACATTTAAACAAATCACAAAAAACCACAGAGCTATAGAGAATAATTTTTTTAACAACTAAATTTTTTTTTTTTTTTTTTGAATTTTATTAAACACAAAAAAATTCAATTACATAGAAAAGTCTTAATTATTCATACTCTTTTGTTAATAATTCTCAAAACGAAAAACTTTTTAAATGCTTCTACGCAATCGTGCAAACTTAAAAAAGTACTCAAATAAAACAAAAGTATATTTAATAAATCGTATCATATCTGTTTATAATAAACATTTGTTAAAAATTGTTCATAAAAAATTAAGTTTCTTAACTTAAAAACAAACTCTAAAGTATTTTAATTTTATTATAAAACTCTTTTTTTTTTTCGTTTGCAAGCAATTTAATTTAGGGTAACAAAATAAAAAGAAGGAGAATAAATACAAAGTAATCTTTGTTAAGAAACATTTAATTTATTTATTGAACAATACTATTTTTATTTGTATACTTAAATAAAATATACTGTTAAATAAGTCAAATTCAAAAATAATAAATTCGTTTATCTGTATAAACTTGAATATATAATTTTTATTTATTAGATAATTAGTTCACGAAGACTATCTGTTAAAAGATCATCGTCACTATCAATGTCCTCCGTATCACTTGTTTCGATTAGTTGATCGAAATCTGCTAAGTCTTTTTGAACAACTTCTTTTTCGGCAATATCAGCGACACATTTTCGGCGTTTTTGCGTGTACTTGGCGAGAGAACGCTCAATTATATCATCATAGTCTTCTTCTGACCAAAGACTATGATTTCCAAGAACTACGACACAATCAGCAAGTGCTTCATGACTCAAAGAGAGGCGTTTATCCGATAAGATATTAGTAACAGTACTAAATGTTCTTTCAACTTCTGAATTGGACCCCGATATACACATAATTAATGACATAAGGCAACATAGGTTTCGATATTCCATAAAGTATTTTTTAAAAATAATTTTCCACAAACTGCGCACTGGATGACAATCAAACTCAGTTTTAACTAGTCGTTTTAGTTTTTTCCATTCAGTTAACGCAACATCTTTTTGAAAACCGGCGTTTTTTAAAGGCGCTTCAAAATGGTTACAAATATAGTTGATTTCCTGCACTCCTGATTCTGGGTCTTCAATTATCCAATATATTGGGTCAATAATTTTCATGCTTCTATACAGTATAAATTCTCTTGAATAGTCTTGAAACCTAGTTGATAATATCGAATACAGTTTTGAAAAAATGTTTTTTTTAATTCGACGAATTTCGTCAATTGATTCGTCATGATCAAAACTATTCATTTCTAGTATTACGCTGATATACTTACGATTTTTAACGTGCTTTCGTTTATCACCAGCCTTAGCAAACGAACCTTCGACATCAGTTTTATCGGTGACAAAGTAGCGATTTATGAAGCTGTCAATAAATTCGTCATCTTGCCCAATACATTTAATTTTATCTTCTATCTCCAATAGGGTTCGAGATATAGTAGTAGGAATTTCATGAGCCAATAACTCATTGGTTTCGAATATTTTAGACGCAGGAATAATTACTTCCAAGCTGTCTAGATACAAACCAACTTTGTAGAGGAAAGAATAACACTTAAAAGATTTCAATAGGCCTTTCACTTTCGCTACAGTTTTAGAATTGCTCTGTTCGCTTACATAATTTTGATAACCCATAATAAAAGCTGGCCATGTTTCTAACAAATTCAAAACTCCTCTCCTCCTGTGTCCAACAAACCTTGTTCCAGTAATTTTTGGTAAGTTGTAATGCGTTAAACCGAGGCATTTTGAAGCTGCTTCAACTTCTGCTTTTAACTTACCTGAATTTCTTAATAGATAGTAATTAGCAATATAAAAGTCATCAATCTTTATAAAATCAGGAATTTCTTTAAACGCATCTTTTACAGCCAATTCAATTCTATGATTAATGCAATGAACTTTAATCAACCATGGGCGGTTTTGCTGCAACTGGGAAAGCACACCTTTATGTATACCGAAGTTAACACTTGCCCCATCTGCTGTAGCACATATAACTTTGTTGGTATAATCTTCGGTACTTAATTTAAATAATGATTTATCCGATTCAAAAATACTGTATATACCAATGGTCACAGAGTTAGAGTTGCTACCACCAAAAAGTGACATATCCAACAACTCTGTTACCATGTAAATCGGTACGCCATTGTTATCAGTTCGAACTAAAACTAGTTCTTTTTCTTTTCCAGTTTTTCTTGTTTGACTTCCATCACTAAGAATGGAAAAAAAATTGCACCGTTGGAGGTTTTCAAAGCATTTTTCCCGCACAGAGTCAGCACAACATTTAATCATTTCTCTGCATGTGCGCCCATTCTCGTTGCGTTTAATAAGGCTTGCGCCAGTAATTTTGGCGCACCTCACCTAAAATAGTCAAATACTAAAGTCAAATACATTCCGATATATAAAAAGGCTGTTGATCGGGTAATGGTATTGTATCTTTAATTTTTTTAAATTTTGTTGTCAAATAAATTATTATTTTATATAAATTTTATATTATATTTTAAATCAACCAATCAGACTACCGCGACTTTAAGGAGATGTTAAAGGAACAGTACCATTTAGGGAACAACTTATAAATAAATAAAAAATCATTCAGTAATAAAGTACAAGTAACAACATAAAACAAAGAAAACTTAAAACAAAGTATTTCAATGCAAATAGCAACTAATTTAGCACTTACCAAAACAGAAAAATGTGCGTGAGGCATTGTTGGGTGGCACGCCATTTCATAGGCAATTTTTACAAGGTTACGATAAGAATTTTGCATGTGTATTTCTTTCAAGGCAGAAGAGTTTAAACATGAGCTTGTTGACAAATTTTTGAAAACAACCTAAATAAATAGTAGCATTTTTTTTTTTTTTTTTTCTTTCTGCTTGTAAGGCGACGAATACTCTACTTATATTTTTGACACTATTCGTTAAATTCATTTGCGACATTATCCCTTATTCTGTTATTCAATGCAACAAATTGCGACACTATTCCTTTTTCACATTTTCGACAATCAAATTTGTGACATTATTCCTGTCACCCATTATAACATGTTATAAATAGTTTTGTAAAAACAATTTTTTTTAATAAGAATTTTTTTTTTTTAAGTAATCGAACCTATGAGATGAGAACTTATAAAATAATATTATTGAATTATTTTTAGTTTTTTAAAAAATTGTTATTTTAAAAGTATACTATAAAGTAAGTTATTTATTGATTCCGAAAATTATTGCATTCAGAGCATGCATTACTGCATAATTATCCAGAGCATGCATTACTGCGTTGAAGCGATCATCATATTATGTGACTTTAGTCAATTATAAAACGTTATTACGTTTTACATTTCGTGACTTTAGAATAATAAAGCTCTATCTCCATTTCTTGAAGTTGGGAATCGACCATAAATTGGTTGTCGGTAAAATGCGAACGGCGAACAGGTAAAAATGCGATCTTTTTTGCAAATCATTACCTTTTAAAAACCATTATTGTTATGATAAAAAAAATAATAAAAAAATCTCCCATTCTTAATTATCTATTTTAAAGCTTTATTTTAAAAAAAAATATATTTTTTTAAACTGTAAAACATGCGTGGAGTGTTGCTACATCAACTATCTTATAGCCTGATTCGCAACGGAGTGCTGCTACATCGACTATCTTATAGCTTGACTCGCAACGGAGTGCTGCTAAATCGACTGAGGGTTTAGTTCGGAAAGGCAGTCTATCAAATAATAAAAAAAAAAAATTATATTGTATTTGTCTAGTTTCACTTAATTTCTTTTTAATTCTTTTTAATTAATATTTTCCTTAAAATATACTGCTAAATGAACAATTCATCAGAAATAAAATATTACATCATTAACAACCAGTAGGACAATGGTTCGCAAAAAAGTTCGCATTTTACTAGTTCGCAGTTTGCAGTTCGCATTTTATCTAGTACCCCATAAATTACGCAACGCTAAATTTCACTAATAAACAAGACAAAATAATCAAAAGTGTTCATTCGCAGAGCGTAAATTAAAAAAAAAAAAAAATGAAAATAGCCTATTAAGTTTAGTAAAAATCGCTGAGTAAAAGAACTTAAGAACTTCTATAACTGTTTTTCAAATAACTTTAGCGTTGCGTAATTTATGGGCGATCCCTTGAGAGAATTTAACTTTCGATATTTAGTTATTTAATTATTCGTTGTTTATACTGATCAAATATATATATTTTTTAAATTCTGTCAACATTACAAAAGTGAAATAGAACCCTAATATTCTAACGTCGCAGTTTACAAGAGTTAAAAATTATTTTAAGTCTAAAAACTTTACTTAGATAAATATTTAATTTAATAAACTGAAAATACAATTTTTTTTTTTTGCTTTTAATTGAAATGGGATCGATTGACAATGAAACAAAAAAATTAAACTAATTTATAAACCCTTACACTGTTGGCTACTCCATCATTTTTGTCGAAGCCTTCATTTTCTAATTGAATTGCATGTTGGTGAGTCGCTCCTGACAAATGTCTACAAATACTATCTTTTTTAACATAATTTGTACCATTTATAAACCGTAGAGCAGCTGCCCTCACGGCACCATTGGTTTTGGATAAGATTTTATTTTGATGAAGCTTACACAAAGTACATATGATTTTAATAACATAAATCTTCTCTTTTTCTGTGACTGTTTCAATTTGAAAAACATCAGCAAAGTCCCAAGACTTAAAAGTTTTCAAAGTAATATTTTTGTTCTTCAAAATGCAATCCATTATTGAACTTCAAACAATTTGGAGAGAATAGAAATATACTAGGTTTTGATACTCTACTTTGTCTTATTTTATACAGAAAAATACATAGTCATTAGTAAAGAATAAAAACTGTCATTAAACTAACACATGCTTTAGTTTTAAATTAAGGGAGTTGGCAACGTGCGCATGCATAATAAAACATCCGTTGTATAAATATATTTAACGTAATATTTGTGTCATCAGCGGATGTTATAGTCTACTCGTGATGTCTTTAATTTTATAATATAACTTGATTCATGAAAAAAAAAGTTTATTGAATCGCACGCAGTTAAACAAATTGTCTTCTTTCAAAAATTTTGACTAATAGGTAACTTTTTTTTCTTATGTACCAGCCCCCTCCCCCTGTATATCTTAAAGTTAAAGGTATACTTTTAACTAAAAAAAGCAAAGAGTAATAATTAATGAAGAATTAAGTTTATGTAAATTAAAAATAAGTTATTCATATACTAACACATTTTTTTAATATCTTCAAAAAATGTCTTCATATTTTTGTTGTCAGAGATTACAAAATATAATAATTTTTGTAACATAGACTTATATAGAATTTTGTACTGTATTTTTTATTCAAATCATCTAGAAAAAAGTTTTAGTTAAAGAATGGCGAACTTTTTTCATTTTGTTAAATATTTAGATAAAAAGGTTAGCGTAAAATTACGTTGAATATAATCGTAATAAAAAGATAAAAAATATCATCGCGATAAAAAGTTACAACAATTATTTTTAACGTAACTTCTTTCAAACTTTTGTAACAAATATTTTTACATATCATTATTCAAAAGTTTGTGGTTTTTTTTTAAATTAATTACTTCTTTTATGTTACCGCTAATTTAAAAGTTAAAAAATGATAAAAAGTAGCTTAACCAAAACAGCTCTACGCGTACGTAAAAATCGCTTAAGGCGTACATAAATCGCTCTAGGCGTAACGCTTTAAAACAAGGCCTGACGTTCATTTATGTCATCACAACTACGTTCATCTATGTCATCACAACTTCGTACATCTATGTCAACACAACTACGTACATCTATGTCATCACAACCTCGTACATCTATGTCATAACAATTACATACATCTCTGTTTTCACAATTACATACATATATGTCAACACAACTACGTTTATCTATGCCATCACAACTACGTACATCTATGTCATCACAACTATGTTCATCTTTGTCTTTACAATATAAAAATTTTAAGAAGCAAGCATAAAAATTTTCATTCTTTATTATACCTGAACTAAAAGATAGGATTGTGTTCCTTCTTTTGGAGGTTTTGACACATGAAGATTTAAACTGTTTCCTTGACCAATCGCATCAATGCACAATACATAATCTGCTTCAGCTAACAAACTAATTTCTATAAATTAAATAAAACAATAAAATACAAAACAGCAATAGGAAAAAATACAACTTTCTTTTATTCTTAAAAAATGTTAAAGCTCATTTAAAGCTTCTGATTAAATGGTTTTGATAATTATGAGCATGCATGACAGTAGTTAATGCACAAGCTTTTGAATCACAAAATCTAAAGTTTGATGCCTGTTCGGGCCATAAATACAATATCTGTTAGGAAGGCAGGCTTAATTCTTGCAAAATACTCTTTAACTGTGCTATGTAACAAGATTATTATTTTTTTGGAGCATCTTAATAACCAGTAAAAATAAAATTAAAAAAAAAACCTGACGATTCAACATTTTGTTCAATCCATTTTTTTGTTCCTTGGTAGTTGAACTTGCCCCCACCAGCAAGAAGGAATAAAAGATTATATCGTTATTCTCAGTTAAGGTATACATTTATTATGTTGAGCCACAAATTCTTGTTTTTGGACAATAATTCTTTTTCTAACTTTTAAACTTTATTAAAATCAAATTAAGTTGAACATAATTTTTTTTCTCTTATTATAACATGAGGGATGAAAATTAACTATAAAATATTTTTAGCCATACCCCTAGTGTGTATGTGTGTGTTTATATATATATATATATATATATATATATATATATATATATATATATATATATATATATATATATATATATATATATATATATATATAAACTTTCTTTAATTAAAGTTTAGTACTATTTAAAATTTAATATAATTTTAAATGAGCTACTTCATATAGATATCAGAGAACAATACAAAATAAGTACTGTATGTCAATGGTAAATATGCATGTTTGTGTATATGTATGTGTGTGAGAGAGTATGTAATCCTGCTCTAACAAATAGGGGCTTTGCTCTAAAATCAGAAATTATTAAAAACGCTAATCTAGTAAAAAAAAATCAATTTTTTGGATTTTAACAAAAATTGATAACAAAAAAAATTATTCAGGTTTGGTCAGGAAGCAGGAGCAACCACTCTCAATTACTGACCACTATTTAGATGCAAAAAACTGGCCAGATTTTTTAGTCGTTTTAAGAACATTTCAAAAAACAAAAAAAAAAGGCCTAAAAAAGATTAACTGGACCAATAAGACAAAAAAAAAAAAAAAAAAAAAAACTAGGAAAAGAAAATAACTTTTAATGCGAAAAAACTATAAGCAAAATAAATTACGTTTAGAACAAACATTTTCGAAACATCGCTCATTTATAATTTAGTACTGTATGTCAATAATTCTTTATAAAATTAAGCGATATTTTTTATATAGTTTCATCTTTCGATTGCTTAATAAGGAAACAAACGTTCTTTTATTTATCAAAAAGTATAATATAATTTTTATTCTTATACTCGTGTCTTATTTTCAGTGCTGGATTTAGAAAGGGTGGGTTAGAGGGGGCTATAGCCCCAGGCCCTGCAATGTTAGGGGCCCCGAGATAGTCAAGAAGTCCTTTTTTTTATCATTTTTACACTGTGGCACATAAAAAAGGCATCCAAAATAAAAATAGCCCCCAGCCACAAAAAGTCCATCAAGATTCTAATAAAACTAACGCTAGTTTTAGTTTTAAGCTAAATTATTTTATAATTTTATATTTTATAATTATTTTATAATTTATTTTAAATTATAATTTTATAATTTTATAATTTTATAAACAAAAAAGTTAATTTTTTAAAAACTATTTTATGTTTCACGTAGTTTGAAAAGTTAAACATATTTGAAACAACTATTTTTAGTAAAATGAACAGATGAAATAATTAAGTCATTGAGTTACTGTAGAAATTAAATTAACTAGATAGAAATCACATAAAAAGGTTAAAAATACTTTATGAAGAGGAAGCAGAACTGGTTCACAATAGATAATGCTGATGATGTTAAGTAAATGGGCTTTTTAATTTTAATTTGTATTTAAATCAGAAAAAAGTAACTTTAAGTTTAAGTTATAAAATCATTACATTACTGAAGAGTCCTACAGAACAAAAAAATATTATCTGATATTTATTAATTAATTTTCTAAAAATTAATTAATAAATATCCGCCCCATCCACTTCTATTAAATACTTGAGAGTATATAAATAAACTTTGATGATTATTAGTAATTTTGTTGAAAACACAATTATTGTTGAAAATCTTTTTGTTTACAAAATAAATTGTAAAAATTGCTTTAAAAGATTACATTAGAATAAAAAAATAGATACACAAAATTAAATTTACATAAAAAACACATACTTTTCAAATAAAAAATAAGAATATACTAACAAAATCTATAATATATAATAAACTTTCAAAACTTAATTTAAAAAATATATTTTATTTAAAAAATATACATATATTTAAAACATTTATTTTTGTAAACAAATAATAATAGTTTAAAAGATTTTGCAGATGTGTCTCTAAAAAAATTAGCTCTGAGAAGATTTGCAGATGTGTCTCTGAGAAGATTTGCAGATGTGTCTCTGAGAAGATTTGCAGATGTGTCTCTGAGAAGATTTGCAGATGTGTCTCTGAGAAGATTTGCAGATGTGTCTCTGAGAAGATTTGCAGATGTGTCTCTGAGAAGATTTGCAGATGTGTCTCTGAGAATGGCCATAGTAATAAAACAATAGTTTGTCTGATAAAATATTTTTTAAACAATTAATGCTAGAAATCTCGAAACTTAACAAATCTTAAACAATACAATTTTTAAAACATTTCAACAGAATACTCTAAAACTTTATTTTGTTTAGTCAGTGTATTTTTTGAACCAATAGAATTAGTTTGTTCGTATATTTTGAGGGTTTTTAGTGTTCACAAATATTCTTTTTATTCTTCCGTACCAACATGTTTTGAAAAAATTCAAGTTTATGTACGTTTCCATGTATGTCCATAAAACAAAAATTTTTTAAATTCACGTAAAAGAATTAACTTCATAATTGTTTTGCAGACAAACATGGAAACATACATAAGCTTAAATGTTTTCAAAACGACTAAAAAATCTGGCCATTTTGCAACTAATAATTATTTCGGTGGTCAGTAATCGAATGGATCGCTCCCGCTTCCTGACCAAGCCTGAATATCTTTAAAAAATTTAAAATTACCTGACATATTTCATGAAAAATTTTATGCGTTAGTGCAACAAAAGAAAATAAAATTTAGATATTAAATCAATTTCTAGGTTTCTAAAATATATTTTAAATGGTTTTAACAAAGACATGCCTGGCATGATAAGTTATTCAGTCCTCAAAATTAGGATAAATAAGGTTGGCATCAGGTCAGCAGAAAAAATGCAAAACACAGGTTTGACCATAAAACAAAGAAACGAGGTCACAATTTTTTGCCAACCTCAAACACTTCTAGGTCAGCAGTTAGGTTGGCATTTCTAAATGCCAACCCTAATTCCAAGGGCTAGTCATTAGAAAAACTCTAAATGATGTCATGTCAGATTTCAACAGAAAATATTACAGTAAACATGTGTTGCTATGGACTTTTTGCAGTGCATGGATGATAATAAAAATAATAATATTAAAAACTAATTTTTTGTCAAAAACCTCTTTTTGCTTGGACAGGTTACAAATGATATTTATTTAAACACTAATAAATTTATTAACTTTTTTATTAAAATATTAGTATTTTTTAAGAAAGGTAATAAGAAAAGATACTTTGGTCTAGTTGATACTTCACTGTACAACCTAAAAAAAAAAAAAAATTATCTACTCCTATTTTAAAACTAATTTTCTGGCCATTAGGATTAAATGTTTTTTTTATAAATCAGTAACATAATGCATTAAAATATATTACATATATACACCACAATATTGTTGATATTTTTTACATTGACAAACAACAACAGAGTGTCATATAAGTCATCTACTTTATATCTTCTCAGGTTATCATTCACTACTGACTTCTCATAGAAACAATATATAAAACCCACTGCAAAGTTAGCACCTTTTAAAGTTGTTACCATGTTTGCAATATTCTTACTACTGATTCCATTCTCTATCGCTACAAATCTCTTATTCAACCCTGAAAAATTACTGTTGTCATATTTGGGATGGTTATTCTAATGAGAACCTATTTTTTTTAGACAAAACTTAAAAACAAATTTCAAATGTAGTTGGACCTGCTCTAGCTATATGATAGTATTGAGTCCCATTTTCTGTAAATACTACCATGGTCAATGCTTAAGCAAGCTATTATTACTTGTTCCATCAACCAAAACTCAGTCTTGCATGAGTCATCATTCAGCTAAGTCCCATTCTTTTACTGTAACTGTTAATTCATGTTCAAAAATTCTTTATTCACCTATTTTTTCATATCGATGCTATGGAATTCCTTTCCACCTATGCATCATTTATGTTAATTTTTATCTGCTTTTATTTATAATAAAAAATTATAAACAGGGTCAAATCATTATATTTCAACCAATTTTGTAAAAACTTTGTGGGGCACCGTCTCAGATTTTGCTGATTTTTACATATCATTATCTACATCATGTAAATAGGTTAAATTTAAAATTTCAGACTTCCAAGTGCAACGGTTCAGAAAATATAGCTTTATAAACACTGCACAGTGCCCCCCCCCCCTCGATTTAAGAATTGTAAAAACAGACTACATTAAAGCCTCATTACTTTTTTCTATTTTTCAACAAGTGGCTCATTTTTTCTAGAAGTGTTTTTCTGAGTAGTTCTGTGTTAAAAATACTGGTTTTTGTTAACTTGTATCATATAAGAAAAAAATTATAGCCTCCTAAACTTCGAAAAAAAATTGAAAAATGCTAAAAAAGGCCAAAATGAAGTTAACTATAGTAGTTTTCTATTCATCAACAAGTCTTAACAAGTCCTTACAATTTAGTTTTCTGATTAGCTACTATTATCTGCAACAAATAGACAAAAAATAAGCTGCTTGTTGCAGTTTAGAACTGAAGTACATCTAAAAATGTATTGTTCATTTGCAAAAAAAGTCCTATTTTTGGTCATTTTGAAATGCCCGTAATTTTTTCTAACACTTTGTATTAGTCTAAACTTCACAGCAATTTAGATTATAAGATCCAACTATCTGAAAATGCAAACATTTTTTACTTGTTACATTCATAACAAAAATGGTAGCATATTAAAAAAACCCTATTTTTCAATTATCAAGGGTTGAACGTAATGTTGGAAACCAGTGCCCCCTAACCTGCCTCATAGCATATTCAATGGGTGCAACTGATTATAAGTTGTTTCTTAAAAAAAATTAAAGATAAGGTTAAATGCCCCCATGCTGATCTGGATTTTAACCTGGGTAGGGGCACAAAAAAAAGAAAATTAACTAACTAAAACTCAATAATATTTGTAAATAGTGATACTTTAAACATAATTTACACAATTAAGGAGTGTTATATCTCAAAGTCAAAGACCTTTGTTGTTTTACAAAATAAATGTTAAACAATTTTTATAAGGTTTTAATAATATATCAAGGGGATATTCATGATACATCAGGGGGCTAAAATATATAACAACTTTTATAGTAAAAATAAATAATTATTAATAAAGGATAAAGTTGAAACTTGTTAGAAACCACTTAAATTATTAGGCTTGGTTTTTACTTTTTAATTGATAATTAGTTGCTAATTTAAAATAATTAATTCACTATTATCTATCTAATCTTTTTTTTTATTAGATAGGAGTAAAACCCTCTTGTGTTTTGGAGCTCAGGCTCATGTAATGTGGCAATAATATCATTACTGGATACCAATGAGTATCTGGTGGTTTTGGAAATAATTGCCAGCTTTACATAAACAGCTGACAGATATATAGTTGCCTTTAACATCTATTACCTTTCCAGGGAAAAATTCACCAAAATAATGTGTTACCCAATCAGCAATATTAATGTCAATATTTACTGACTATTAAGTGTTAATCCAAGTATCAACCAGCATGTAAAAAATGTCAAATGTTGTGCTCATTGATGTTACATAAGCTTTTAAACAACGAGATAGAGATGAGAAACCATGATATGTGTGGGCTCCTTTAATAGCAGGAACATTCTCAAATCGTTTAGCAAGAAATATAGAGAAATCTAAAATTAAATTTTAACATAAATCTTATAATCCAAGTACATAATTTTTAAAATGTATTTAGTAATCTCTTATTTTAAAGTACTATTTTCTCTAAAATTTTCCTTATAAAATACTTTTATAGCAAAAAGTTTGTTTTATAGGATTGACTTTTTATAACTAAGAACGATATAAGCTATTTTCTTTATTTCAATAAAAAGTCCATAACGATATAGGATACAAGACATTATTTGAAAAAATTCAGAAAAATTACGTGCACTTAGACAAGAATATGCAATAACTGACATTTAAAAAATTTTTAGCAATTAAAAACATGTCCTTTATTGAGTCAAAATTTGATTTCCAATTGGCCTTTGGAGGGACAAGTTATTAATTACTCTTTTCACTGTACCACCTACTCCATCACATGCACTTTTTTATGTACAGTACAAAAAAAATGTTAATCTCCTTTCAGCCTGTAGTCTTTTTGATGAAAACAAAGGTTTTTCAAATTAAATCTATAATACATTAAGAAAAATTATATTCATAAAAAAATAAATTTGATTAAAAAATTAATATCCTAATTATTATATAGCAAATTTGAAAAACATCATTTGAATAAACGAATATGGCTTGTTTAAAATTGGTTAATTAGAATTTTTTAATTAATATTAATTAAAAAATTAACCTACCTATTTTTATACTGGCTGCCTGTAACATCAGTGAAATAATGAATCTTCTGAATTTGTGGATATTTTTTTAGAATAAATGATTTTTGAAACAACTGAAGACTGCCTGACTCAGTATTGTGAATCAGATTGTATGATATAACACAATAACATTTGTTTTCTAGGGTCAGTTTTCCATTCAAAGATCTCATATATTCATATGTCTGAAATTTGCTGACATAATGATGTTTTGTGAGTTTATATAAGTTGTTGTGTTAACTCCTCAAGAAACTCATCAAGGTTTTTAACTATTGTTTCTAAGAAGTCTCTAAAGAATCTATCAGTTTTCAACCATTGCTTCACTTCTTTCTTTTCCAGCACACTTTTTACACTTGTGAAACACACATTCTTTATTTTCTAATTAGCATACAGCTAAGGTCATCATTTCATTTAACTTTAATTCATTTTTACCATGAGATTTTGATTTTAATACAAACACAGACGGTTGGGTGACAGATTTTCCAGTGAGTACACAGTGTTTTGCCTTAAAAAAACAAATGATGTTAATCCCACTTTAACTATATCATTAAACTTTGATTCTTCTATCCATTTTTGGTATAGTTCTGAAAGATTGTATAATATGAGTTGCTTCTGAACTGTTTTTATGCTAATATGGTCCTTAGCACAATAATCTACAATTACAATCTTACTTATCTTCATAAAAATTATTAATTTGATTTAACTTTAGAAATCATTTTTTTGGATTTTTGATGTCAGTTGTTCTCTCACCATAGATTACTTTAGTGTCCTGCAAAGCTCTAGCTTGTTTTACCATATATTTTAATGTTTTAAATTCATCTATTATTCCTGAATGGTCCAATGGACAGGAACTAAGGTGAGGAATTTATTTTCTGTAAAATACTATTCTCATTAGTTGTTCTACTAGATAATCTAAAGAGGAGCTAATATAGAGGTCTCTTGTAAGAGGCGACTATATATCTGTCAGCTGTTTACATAAAGCTGGAAATTATTTCAAATATCCAAAAACACCAGATACTCATTGGTATCCAGTTAGTGATATTATTGCCACATTACATGAGCCTGAGCTCCAAAACAAAGGAGGGTTTTACTTCTACCTAATAAAAAAAAAGATTAGATAGATTATATTGTATTAATTGTTTTGAATTAGCAACTAATTATCAATTAAAAAGTAAAAACCAAGCCTAATAATTTAAGCGGTTTCTAACAAGTTTTAACTTTATCCTTTATTAATCATTATTTATTTTTATTATAGAAGTTATTATATTTTTTAGCCCCCTTGATGTATCATGAATATCCCCTTGATATATTATGAAAGTCTTATAAAAATTGTTCAACATTAATTATGTACAACAAGTCTTTGACTTTAAGATTTAACACTCCTAAATTGTGTAAATTATGTTTAAAGTATCACTATTTACCAATATTATTGAGTTTTAGTTAGTTAATGCCCCTTTTTTTGTGCCCCTACCCAGGTTAAAATCCAGATCAGCATGGGGGCATTCAACCTTATCTTTCATTTTTTTAAGAAACAACTTGTGGGGCCGTGGCGCAGTGGTTAGAGCGTCTGCTTTATAAGCAGGAGATCCAGGTTCGAAACGAGCTCTGGACATATTTTTGTGTCACGGTAAGGAAGGAGGTGTGAACTTCCTGGTTAAATGCACTTCTGCGATGCTCTGTGACAAGACCATTAGGTCTTCTTGGGGCACCTAAAAATATTAACAAAAAAACAACTTATAATCAGTTGGACCCATTGAATATGCTATGAAGCAGGTTAGGGGGGCGCTGGTTTCCAACAATACGTTCAACCCTTAATAATTAAAAAATAGGTTATTTTAAAATGCTGACATTTTTGTTGTGAATGTAACAAGTAAAAAATGTTTGCATTTTCAGATATTTGGATCTTATGGTTTTAATTGCTGTGAAGCTTAGACCAATACAAAGTGTTAAAAAAAATTACAAGCATTTCATAATGGCTGAAAATAGGACTTTTTTTGCAAATGGACAATACATTTTTAGATATATTTTAGTTCTAAACTGCAACAAGCAGCTTATTTTTTTTCCTATTTGTTGCAGATAGTAGTAGCTAATCAGAAAACTAAACTGTAAAGACTTGTTGATGAATAGAAAACTACTATAGTTAACTTCTTTTTGGCCTTTTTTAGCATTTTTCAATTTTTTTTCCAAGTTTAGGAGGCTATAATTTTTTTCTAATATGATACAAGTTAACAAAAACCAGTATTATTAACACAGAACTACCCAGAAAACTTCTAGAAAAAATGAGCCACTTGTTGAAAAATAGAAAAAAGTAATGAGGCTTTAATGTAGTCTGTTTTTACAATTCTTAAATCGAGGGGGGGGGGCCACTGCGTAGTGTTTATAAAGCTATATTTTCTGAACTGTTGCACTTGTAAGTCTGAAATTTCAAATTTAACCTATTTACATGATGTAGATGATATGTAAATGATATGTAAAAATCAGCAAAATCTGAGATAATGCCCCACAGGCCATTGGTTGAAATATAATGATTTGACCTAACATTTAAAAAATATTTTATTGTCTTCAGTTAAATTTAGAGGATACGTGAATAAGAAAAATTAATTTGGTCTTGAAATTAAAACATTTTAATATTTTATATTATTTAAAGCATTTTGATGCATTTATTAAAAATCATTCAACAAACTTAACATCTTTTTAAAAATATATTACTTTTTCCAATATATTGGTAAATTATTGATAAAAGCTCAACCCAAATCCTAAGTTATTATCTTGCAAACTTGATAGACAAAATCCTGTAAACTTGATATCCTGCAAAACTTACACACTTGATATTCTGCAATGACAATATCTTAAATATATTAAATAGTATCAGAAAACTAAATAGTTGATATCCCGCAATTCAATAATTATATCCCGCAATTCAATATTTATATTCAATAGTTGATATCCCACAATTAATAAGTCTCGCTAATTCAAGCAATGCAGCAATACTAGAAGAACTTACAAATAATAAAGTCTTGCTAATTCAAGCAATTAAACAACACCGGAAGAACTTACAAATTAAAAAGTCTCGCTAATTCAAGCAATGCAACAACACCAGAAGCTGTAGCATCGGCACCATAAGACAGTTTCTAAAGAATATGTTTTCACTGTTAAAAAAAGTTGTAAAAAAAATTTTTTTTTTTTAAAAAACAAGTTTTATAAATTAAACTTTTACAACTAAACCACATACTTACAGGTACAATACTAAAAGAGTCATAATGTGTTACTATAGCAACAGTGGGAAGCTGATCTTCTAATCCTTGACCAGTTAATTTTCCCTATAAAATAATTTTACAGAAATATTTTCATTCCCAACCTTCAATTATCTTAATTTGACTTTCTGAAAGTCACCAGTATGAACACAAAAAAATTTGATGAATGGCTGGAAGTTGTTGTAAGTACATAAAATTCTTGATTTACCTATGCATATATGAAAAGTACACTAAAAAAATTCAAAAAATGGATAGGTGGTAGTGTTTAACAATTATTTTATTAAAAAAAATCATTAATCAATTAATAAACTAGTTTATTATTTCAATTTATTTGCATTTAAATAAAAATACAAAAGGTGATACAGGTAATTGGAGAACTACTTTTATGTAACACCAAGTTTAAAACAGTAAACAGTGTCACTGAATATTGTATGTTTTTAAGTTTGATAGAAAAGAGACAATGAAGAGGAATACACCAAATAATCAGGTAAAGAACTCCATACCTTAGTAACTCTTTCACTGAAAAAAAATCTCCTTATATCATTGATGTAGCTGTTACGTGATAGTTGATAGTATAATTTTTTGTTTTAAAAATATAAAATGAGGAGTATTTTGAAAACAAATAAGAATTTTTTTTTGCTTTATCATAAATGAAAACAAATAATTTGCAGTGCGGTAGTACTTAGATTGACATTTGCAATGGAATAAATTGTTCTGAAGATAAGAAACATTTTTTAATTAATTTTTTTGATTAGAAAACAAAAATCAATATAAGTAAAAAATAGGTTGAAAATTCCTTTCATCAACTTTTTGCTTTTTGTATAATTTAAATTAAGTTTGTTATTTACATCATAAACTATATTAATAATACTTTTTTAAGAACTATAAAAGAACTATATTATTTACAAATATATTTTAAATATTAATTGTGATTTAATTGTGGAGTGAAACTTCACATCACTTGATATTGAACAAAAATTCAGTTAATTTAAAAGAATGTTTGCACCACTGAACTGAGTAAACAGTTCAATTGACCAAAGAGTTTCAGCAAACAACACATTTATCAAGACTTTTTCTGCACAGATTATCAAGAATTCTCATGCAAAACTTTATTAGAATTTCCCTGATACAACCAGATTTTTCAATTTAATTTATTATAATTGCAAATGTTAATTGAATGATTATTAAGTTTTTATTTTAATTGCTATTTAAATGTTAACTATTGTTATTGTATAACTTAATGCTATCTATTTTATAATTTGATTATTTTAAAATGTTTAAAAATTTTTCATTAAACGAGAATATTTATGAGTCATGTAATTCTTGTAATTCAAAAAGAAATTTGAAGGTATTATTTCAATCAATGTATTAATATTTCTTTTAATTATTACCATATCATCTTTCTAAGGCTTAGGGTAATGCAAAGAAAAAAAAAAAATGCCTAAACAGCCCCTTCTAATATAATAACATAGGGACCTTTTTTAAAACTTTTATTTTATATTTTATATTTATTTATTCATATCTACTATTTATATCACCCTGGATTTGATATAAAATAGCAGTGATAGTAATAAGCAATTATTACTTTTGTATAAAGATCACTAGATTTTTTCAAAAGAAAAAAGTTCAAATAATTCTTATTTTTTATAAAAATATATTGTAGATAAAAACTTTTTTATAATAACTAACCTGTAAACTAATGATAGGAAAGTCTGATATAACCTGAGATTCACCAGCATCGGTCAAGAAATGAAAACTATTTGCTGATGCTACTGCTGTCATGGCTAAAATCAGATAAATATTTAATAAATGGAATGGATAAATCCAAAATATAGTAATTTGATGATTTCTCAAGAAAATCATTAAATTATTTATTTATGAAAAAAACTAGGTTTATCATTTTTAGTTATTAGGTATAACTTTATAAACAATAATTCTCTATCATATTAACTAAATTTTTACATGATAAACATTACATTGTATTATTAATTTTACAAATGATTCTCAATAATAAAGTATTTGTTATGAATATACATTAGACCACAAAAAAAACTGCATTTTGCACACAAACACACACAGAGATATATATGCGTGTGTCTCTCTTTATATATATATATTTTTTACTTTGCCGTTTAATAAAATTTACAATAAGAACGTACATATATCTCATATATATGTACGATACTAAAATTACCAACCTGACGCAGACTTCTCCCCACTCGTTCTTTGTACCATACAGTTTAACTTTTTTAATTCATTTTTTTTTTTTTATCTTCTTTTTTTCTCTTCTCTTCTTTTGCTTTCTTTTTTTTTTTTATGTATAGAGAAGGGTGGGATGCAAGCAGAGTTATTAGTCTTTGGCCTTGACTTCTGCCTTGCCTTAAGGCCAAAAATTAAGGCCTTAACCTTGAAAATTTTGGCTTTGGTCTTCAAAAAAAAAAAAAACATAAAATTAAAAAATTCAAAGTTCTCATTCTTTATTTTTATGTATTTTTGTTTTTGGTTTTCATATATATCTACAAGTATATTTTATTAAAGACATCGTTGAATTCCGTGCATAAACCTAATTTATTTTTATAGCATGTGATTTTATTGTCACAGCAATTGTTCCATACAGTTTTGGCCTTAAAAATGTTTGTGTAGGCCTTGGCCCTGAACATAAAACTCTTGTCCTTGGCCTTGTAACATGTAGCCGAGGCCTTGGTCTTGCTACTTTTGGCTTTGTTAATAACTTTGGATGCAAAATGTCTATAAGATCAATCCCCTCTGCTTTTTTATAAGCTAGCTAGATTATAATTACTTAATTCTTTTTATAAATTATTGTTTTAAATATTTATATATTCAAACAAATAATTGGCTTTAATCAAGTTATAACTTTTTAAAGGATTTTGCACATAAATTACTGAAAAAGTTATAACTATATATATATAAAGGAATTAAACAATTAAACAATATTAATCTATCTCACAAATGCACAAATGACTTCGGCTTAGGGACATCTTGCCCCACTAAAAGTTAAACAAACCAGTTGTATTTTTTTATTTGTATGATTATGATAAAGAAATGTTTAAAAATTTCAAAACCCAATCAATAAAATTAGTTTATTTGCAATTAGATAACGAAGCTTCAGGTTAAGGAAAATATAATTTTATGCATGGGGCAAAATGTCCTGTAAATATTTAGCTTTAAAAACTTTTAAGCCAGTTTAATTCTTTTATATATTACAAAAATATTAAAACTAAATATTTAGATGCCGTTTTGTCAAACACATAAAAAGACATTTTGCCCTCATTATTAAATACTATGTTAATCATTATACTTTGTAGTTATTTGTAGTCTATATAGACTACAAACAGTAGAAAATTTGAAATTTTTTTTAGAGTTGGAGGGGTTATTTTTAAAAAATAAGCCTGTTTCAAATATAATATATATATCTTGCCCCGTTCCGACCATGGCAAATAAAGTTTAAGTTTTATAAGTTCCATACCTATGTTATAGCTTTATTTTATGCTATATTGATGTTACTTTCATTATCTTATATGCATATACATATGTATTCCATCATCTTATATCTTGCAATCTTACATCTTACAAAACATCTTATATTCATGTATTACATATCATCTCTATACATTATATTATATTATCTTATTTAAGTTACATAGCTATGGAAATAGTCTCATTGTTTTCAGTAAGCTTTGTGTCTGAAGAAAAATAAGATGTAAAAATTTTTTTTGAGATTTTATCAGCCAATTAATTCTATTGTACAATTGTACCATTATATGTTTTTGTTTGTTTTTGTTAAAATTTTTTTACAAGTAATAAAGTATTTTTTTATCCAATTTTTTTTATTATAAGTAAATGTGATAGAAATAGAAAAATAGTTCTATGCAATAAAGGTTTTTAAGGAAGAGGGGGGGGGGGCATCTTCACTCACAATCAGGGCTAATTCTAGGAAAAAATTAGGGCTGATGCTGTCAAAAATGGTCTAGAATAGCCCTTGGCAATACCCTACTTTTTAATTAAAATTGTTTATCTTTCATTTTTCTGCTTTTAAAAAATTTGTTTGTTTTCTTTTTTTTTATACTTATCTGTTTATTATTTACTTGTTGATTTTTTTTAAAAATTGCAAGCAACGCAATGGCATTCCATTAACAATACATTCCTAAATTTAAGGATGCCATAATTTAAAGCGTAAAATAGTTTAAGAACTTGATCAAATCAGCTGTGATGACACAAATTTCCTACTACTTCCTCCAAATATCACAAAATTTATTACCTCACATAATTTGAGAACAAAGCCATATATTTTAACAGTTTAAAAACTAATTTTAGGTGTGCTAAACACACTCAGTTACTTTATGTATAAGGTAAGCAATGACCTTTTCAGGCAAACTTTTTATATATTAAAAGGATTGCTTCAAACAAGCAATCAACCACAAAAACACTATGTGACTGGTCAGCGCACACACACTTTAAAAATTGCTTAATACATAAGAAAAACTTATTTTCCTCTCACAAATTAAACATTACTCAATTGTATACGGTACTATTAATTTAACCAAAACTATTTTTAGAAAAAAATTTAACAATTATTATAAAAATCTGACTATATTCACTTAACTTAAACACAAACAATCATTTTAAAATGAGTTATTATAATGAGAAATTAAACATCATTTTTAACAAATTGATATTTTTTATTTTTTTATTATAAAATAATCTAAAAACATATTAAAATTGTTTTAAAGGATATGCCTAAAGGCATTTCCGTATAGCATAAGGCAGTTCCTATAGGCATTTCCTTATGATATAAGGATTCTATCTAATACAAAAACAGTAGTTTTAAAATTTTTTTGAATAAAAAATATTTTAAGGGATCCCTCAAGATCTTCGAATATTTAATGGGTCCCTAATATTTTCAGAAAAAAAGTTTTTCAAAAATATGTCAACCTGGTACTCAAATGAAGCGAAATTGTATAAAAATTTCAAAGATAATATTCATTTTAAAAATGTTAATTTTGGTTTTATTACATAAAAAATTGTTAAAAAAAAAAAATTTAATAAGTTAAAATTTTTTTTCAAAAGGAAAATTATTTTTGAAATTTTTATATAATTTTGCTTCATTTGAGTACCAGGTTGACATATTTTTGAAAAACTTTTTTTTTTGAAAATATTAGGGACCCATTAAATATTTGAGGGTCTTGAGGGACCCCTTAAAATATTTTTTATTCAAAAAAATTTTAAACTACTGTTTTTGTATTAGATAAACACACATTTAGGGGGTGGGAGCAGATTATTTTCAAAAATAATTTATTTCCACTTATGATCTGGTATAAAAAAAAAATTCATGAGATTTAATGACTTGAAACTTATTGTTTTTAAGCCCAGAGTCCTTGCGGCCATTATACCTAAAGACTCCAGGTTCAAAAAATGATTGTTCCTCTAACCAAAAACTTTTACTTTTTTTTTTTTAGTAGTCCATAAGCTTATTTATATTTTCAGAGCTCCTGGATACCAAAAACTAGGATGAAATAATCTTTTTGTGACTTTCAAATCTGGAGTCTGTTTTAAGAATCTGCATCCCTGCTTTTTGTGTTGTCTTGTAAACACCCAATTGATCCAGGTAAACTTGAAACATATTTTACATTCAGATACATTTAAAACTACATATTAGTGATATACCGATAACACTTTTTCAGCCGATGCCGATGGATAGGAAAAGGCAGATTCCAATGTCGATAACAATGAATTTACTAATTATTAAAAATTTGAAAATATAAAACCATACAACTTTAAATTGGTACAAATACTTTAAATTGTAAATAAATACTTGGACTCAAATCAAAGCCAAACAAATTTTTTTTTAAATATTAGAAAAACTCAGTTAAAAAAATATACATTTTTATTTTTTTTTCCACTATGAAAATGAAACTTTCGAAAAAATAAATACAATTTTAGAGAAACGCTTTTTATTTTAATTTAAAAAAAAGAAAATAATCATATGCAGTTTACTTAGAATTCTTTATTAATTTATTAGTAATTTAGATATCTAAACAACAATTATATGTTGTTTAGATATAAATTATTTTTAGATAAATAAATTGTTTTTAAAATTACATCCCTAGTAGTACAGCGCTTAACTTGTTTCTACACGCAGCGGCATATATTGCTCATAGTCATATCTCCATTAAACTCTTCTATGGCTTGTGGTCCAGACATCATTCCCATCCCAGTCTTACAAAATTGTTCTCTAGAACTCTCTTAAATTTTCTCTAAACTATTTAATAAGTGCTTGACTGAATCTTGTTTTCCTGCATGCTGGAAAATGGCATCTGTTGTTCTGATTTTTAAAAACTCTGGTAAACATACTGACCCCTCCGATTATTGTTCAATCAGTCTTCCTTCTGTTATTAGCGAGTTTGAGTCTTTGATAAACAAATTTCTCACATTCCATCTTGAGTCAAATAACATGCTGTCAGACAAATAACTATTACAGTAGTGTCAACATTCCTATATTGATGAATGGCAATCCTCTCACTGATTCCACGTCTTTACCTCTTCTTGGATTATCATTTACTACTGACTTTTCATGGAAACCATATATATAATTGATTGCTAAATTAGCATCTGCTAAGGTTTCTTCTTTTCACACGCTCACCATTTTCTCTCTCCTGATTCCATTCCCTACCTCTACAAACTCTTATTCGAACCAGCCCAAATATAACAGCATTCCTGTATGGAATGCTTTTATATTTGGGCTGGTTCTTCTAATGATGCTCTT